GTTCTATTCAGACCCTAGATGGGTTGGATGAAGCTCACCCACATTGGGGAGGGCGATCTGCTTTACTCAGTCCATGCATTCAAATACTAACCTCACCCAGAACATTCTCACAGACACACCCAGAAATAACGCTGAGTCAAATATCTGGGCACCCCCTGATCCAGTCTTCACTGATACATAAAATCAGCCATCACAGGCAGGCTGCAAGAGAAACGCGTAACCAGGAGAAAGCATTGAAATGCTAGGTACCTGGAAATGGAGGGATCCAAGAATAGGACTAGAAAGCAGGAACCACAACCTGTGCCCTCTTCGCAATTTCCTGGGATTTTACCTTAAACTGCTTCGGAGTATTCGGTGCAAGAGGAGGTATTTGGAGACTCAAAAGGGATTCCCCTCCGAGTGCAGATGCATATTTCCAGGCTCCCAAAACAGTGGATGGAAGGACAAGTACACACCAGCTGAAGAGCTCAGTTTTGTTACTTATAAGTTAATGTCCTTAAGCTCTATAGGCCTCAGTACCCTCACCCATAAAATGGAGATAACATTTTAGGGTTGTTGTTGAGGATTACCGGAATGGCTAATGAGTAATGAACAATTAATGTGAACTGCATTAATCACTGCCATAAGCATTCAAATGCACACATGCAATGGTGAAAGCATGGACGTTGGCCAAGGTCAACATCTGCCTAATGTTCAACACAGTTCACAAAGATCTACTCTTTGTTTTGATGACAAACATGTATAATCAGCCGCTTGATCATGGGGGCAGAAATAGGATGTATTCATTCTCAGCTAACCCTGTACTAGCACCAATATTAATGTTAACGCCAGTCGTTACATGCATATGTCTTTAAATATAGTTGAAAGCTATGTAAGGTGATTTGCAGGTTTTTTTCCACAAGCTGGTTGGATTTTTGGTACAATTATTAAGTGCAGAGTAGCACATTGTATATTTCTCTGACAAGATTCTATATCCATCTACAAATGCTTTAAATATTATTTCATATGAAGCATGCTTTCCCACACTAGTAGCACAGAATCAGCGAGATAATTCACTTTGCCGGGATTTTAGGAACAGCAATTCTCAACACCTGGGAGCCAGGTCAACTGTACTGGAATCATCAGGCAAGCTCATTAAAAGCTCTTTTCAGCTTCCACTGCAGCCCAGGACATAACGAACCAGAATCTCTGGAAATGCTGCCCAGGAATCATCACATTTAACAAGTTCCCTAGATAATTCCTATTCAAAGTGAGGTTCAGACAACACTGAGTTTAAAAGCAAGGTGGTGTGTATACTGAATAGAATATCACAACCTTGTGCCTTCAACCTCAGACACTGTCAAAATTTCACCTCATTGCCTTAAGAACAATTTAGTTAATATAATCATTCTAAAAATTAAATACCTTTCAGTGCCTTTGGGTCAGCATTCTGGATTTAATGTAATTATAGATCACTGGAGAGCAGAAACATGGGGGAAAGTTCAGTTGTTTAAAGGCGCTGGTCCATGGCTGCGGGTGTCTGCACCATTACTACTCCTGGTGCAGTCCTCAGGGACAAACTGTTCCCGACAGTCCCCACCCTCCTATTCCTGCCCTCACCCCCATATTCTGCTCACCACAGCATGCTGCGGAGAGCCCTGCGCACGCAGCGACCTGCTCACGTAATGATCATGCCACGGTGCTTTCAGCGGGGAGCTGGGAGGTTCTCCCTAATTAAGTGGCAGCACGCCTTCTTTCCTTTTTCTGCAGGTATTGTGTGTTCTGACCAGATTTATTGAAATGTAATTTTATGTCTATTGAACCTATTAAGAAAAAAATTGGGCTTATATTTTGTATTTTCAAATACATAGCTATGGGACAGATTTTTTTTTTAATTCTTCACCAAAGATAAGTTTGCAAAGCACTGCTCTCTACTACACTCCTTTAAACAAATTCAAACAAAACATGGCCCTAATTTAGCATCTTTTCACCTGCTAAACAATAGGGAGTTGTGCTCCTAGATCACCCATGAGATCCTCTAGCCCTGGAACTCTCCACGGACACAGTTATATCTCACTTTTTTACAGGTGGATTGTTCATTTTGTAAATTACCCAGGACAATATTTTATATTTATAGCTGACTTTCTGCTGCCTCGCACTGTCGCTCTGCACCATCTCTCCCACTGTGAGACTGTGTGGGTTTGAAAAATAAAGAGCATTTTAATAATGGCCTAATCAAAATGTAATTAAGAAAAGTAATTTGGCACCAAAATATTACATAACACACATCAAAGATTAAACTCTAGATATTTCTTACCATCTGCTATCTTGGATTATCACTCTCTCCTCCACTGAGATTTAAATATTTATATCAATATATTGAAGTATGCATTTCTTTCAGAACCTCCTTGTGCTTGCCTTAGCATAATACACAGCATATTTTATTACAGTCATTTGTGCAATGTTCAGATTCCTTGGTAGACTTTTAGCTTCACAAGAATGGAGATCACTTCTGTCTTACCACTGGGTTCCAGTGTTTTACAGTCTCTGACATATTAACAGATATTTGTTGGAATGAGTGAGCAGATAAATCAATGAAATTCTTAGAGGAAGAATCATGAAGTAGGCTTTCATTTCTTTACAGTATCTTACATATTTCTTGTTCCATAATCTTCTTGCTCTATAATTTCTGAGCACAAATTCTACAGTTTGAATAGAATCTAAGACTTTGTGTGTCTGTCCAGGGAGCCATAGTTACAAGATGTCTTAATTCCTTCCACTCAGCTTTTTCTAAAAATGCCAAATGCCCGATGTAACTTTTATCTGCTAGTCTATTTCTGATCATTGTCAACCTCTCATTTTCTGCTTCAGTGAGACACAGTAAATTTTGCTTTTACATTTTTATTGATGATCACATCACATCTCTGTTGCTTGTTCTGCCTAAGCAGGGTTCTTTTTAAATTTTAATTTAGCCAGCAGGAGCTTGAAAAGCGAAGTGCTTTAAGTTAAGAAATTACTCTCCTTCTCCAGAGAAAGTGTAGACTAGAGAGTTTCAAGGAAGATCCAATTGAATAAGCCTCTGTCTCGGGGAACTAGATCCCCTGAGCTGGTACCCAAGGTCTGCCTGTTTCACATGTAATCTCGAACAAGGTCTCCCCTTTTTGATTCACACTGTTTGCAGTAAGTAAGGGATGACATCACAGGATGCACTACTCCCAGGGCTTTCGAAATGCGCTGACCCTCTGAAAGTCTCCAAATGGCTTCTGTGTGTGCTGTTAGGGACCATCTGGCTAGCTGTAGATAAACAAGTTGCAACATATGGGCCATAACACATACACGGCTCTGCTCCACTAGTGCAGAAAATTAAGAAAGGGTCGCTCTCTTGATATGAGAAACTCATGCAAAAGCAGCAGCACCATGGAGCGGAGGGCCCGCGCACACAGGAGAGCTCAATTCAAGCGCCTTCTCTCCCACTCGCTGCGCACGTTACCTGATCACTCCAAGTTCTCTCAATTTCCTCATCTAAAAATTAAAAAGGGTGCCAAGTAAACTGTGGCCTTCCTCCTTCCCTGTTCCTTCTTCCTTCCCTCTCTTGTTTTCTTCCTCCCTTCCTATGAAAAAATATTGATTATATGCCTACTATATAGGTTTCAAGTATGGTGCTAAATGCTGGGCATATTGGTAAGGAAAGCAGGCATGGTCCCTGCCCTTGAAGAATTAATAAACAATGATAAAGGCAAACATTAAATAAATAACTGAGAATAGGAACAGAAAGGAAATGTATGTGTGAAGGTCCTGAGATGGGAAGGGGCATAAACTATTTAAAAATGCAGGATTTGTAAACATTTAGATCCATTAAATTGTGGACTCACTTGACAATCAAAATGCTGAAAGGAAAATCCCCACCATCCACAGATGGCAATTCAGACAATTATTATATTAGCATAAACTATTTGAAAAGCTGCCTGAATTTTCTATTCTTATTGTTGATCTCAGGCCTGCAAACAATGAATCTGATAAAATTGCATGAAAATATAATCATCAGAAACATATACAAGCATCTCAAGCACATGACATCATGGGAAATGCTTTAAGAATCACAAGAGCTTCCAGAAAACCTAGGAACTCTGTGCTTCCTGTTTAATATTTACAAAATAATACCAGATAGCAAGGCAACGGTCATTAAGTTATCTCTTACAAGTCCTTTACTTCCCCACCTTGGTTTCCCAATACTCTCAGCCTTTCCAGAAGATGACAGTTGATGCCCTAGAGTGAGAGAGAGATTAGTCACAACAGTCATTCTTGCTGATCAGTCATAACATATATGTAAAATGTTTACCTCAGTGATTTTTTTCCCAACTCTTAGTGAAAACAAAAGCGGTACCTTTGGCAAAAACTATGCCATATGTGAAATAGTATAAACTGTTTGATATTTTTCCCATTCTCTAGTTTCTACCTTTCCTTCCATTTGGCTGCCATCCAGGTAAAGCACAGCGGACAGCGCCCAGCCCCCATCGCCAGAGTGAAGCAGTTTAATCACCACATGTTAGCGTCAGGTGGGATGAAGAGCCATTTCTAATAACTAAGGTCCTAATAAAAACATTAAGCAAACACATTTGAAAACCTAAATCCAATTAACCATAATGCCATCTATGGACAGGAAAAAACATGTCACTCCCTGCAACCTGCCAAGGCACTTACTATACTATGCATGACAATCTGAGACATGCCTGCCTTCTATCTAGAGGCAAATGCCTTAAAGGAAAGAACTCACTTTATGCACCTCTGCTCCCTCCACGTCCACGGTGCTGAAGGTGGCAAAAGCCCAATAAACACCCATTCATCAAATCAAGAAATGAACACTAATTAAAAAAACAAAACTTACCAAATGGATGAATCCTTACAGTAAAATGCAGTTAATTACAGAACTGCCTTAACTACTTGTTAGGATTTAGCAAATATATGAAGCTTGGCCTTCTGCTATTTGACATATAGCAACATTTATGACATCAGACCTTCAATTAAAAATCATTACTTAAGTGGCTTTATTACAGCTACAAATAAACTTTATTTGCTGTAAGGTAATAAAACATTTTCAAATGTAACATTGATCTGACCAGAATTAATCATTTAAATTATGAATATCAGTATATACAGTCACTTGAGCAAATCTGCAGTTGAGGAATTTGTACAGCTCATTCTGAAAGGACAGGCCCCACCTCCCCTTTCCGGAAAAGCAGGCCCCCTCCCTGTGTCTGGCAAGAAGCAATGTCAATGATAGTTGGAAGAAATCCATCATCCACGCTGGAATTCCACAGTATCCTGGGAGGAAACGGCTACATGTATGGTAGGAAAATAATATTCTCTTGCAGTTCTCTTTTACCAAATGACGTTTTGCATTCATTTCATCCCCTTCGAGGTACTCTTCCGATCTACTGTCTTTCTGTCTAGCTCATAATATCACACGGTTCCATTACAAAAAAATACAATCCTCAAAGGGACCTTTTCTGTTTCCCTGTCTGCCCATAATGCCTACTACTTTAGGGAGGAAAACAGAATTGGCCAGGCACACATTTGATTTAAGATACAAAGAACACAAAAACAAATCCTCTAGAAGGAACAGCATGGTATTCTGGAGCGTTTGCCAATAGTGAGTGTCCCAGGTGGCCTCCGGCTCACACAATTCAGTTTAACAAAAGGCTGCTCAACGAGAATGAACATAGTGATGCTTCATTTCCAGAGGCATCACAACCCTTCATGAAAACCCCGTGATTCCCTGACTTTGTCCCCCAAAACACAGCTATGGACCAGCTTCTGGGCCCATGGCACCCGTGTGTAACGAGTCAAAAGTTCAGTGCCAACACCCACGTTGACACCCAGTACGGTCAGGTAAAAAATCCTCATGGAAGGAACCTCCTCACCTCTCAGGACCCCTTGGAAGTGAGCACAAGCAAAAGCTTTATTCGGCTTTTTATGATTCTCTCCAGCCTGAGATCTGTTCCTGATTATACCATAACAATAAGCGAGTTCACAAAGAAAGTACATCGGTAGGGAAGTCACAGGGACCCTGCGGGAAAGCCAAACTGTGCGACAGAAGCTTAAAACAGACACTGCTCTGGGAAATCACTTGTGTGAGCTGATGACAGGATTCTGTTTTCTAACACGGGACATGCAACATAGTCAACACTATGCTTACTGCAGTTAGCTCGGAAAAACACCCTTCTGTCCTACAACAACATGAACTCTGCCTCGGGAATGACTCCCGAGTCCCCACCGCAGGGCCTAGACTCGGAGCACGGAGGCACCGCTGGAACCCGCGTCCACTTGCATGGACTGGGGCATATGCAAAGCACCCGCAGCTGTTTCCCTTCCGGAGCTCAGCTCTGTTCGCGAGCTGTCGCTTTCTTAAACCGAGAACTATTTTCATTTGCACACAATAGCACAGATCCACAAGGGAAAGAAAAGGAGAGGGCACCATCTCCCTCCTCATATGCTTGTACCACAGATCACCCCGCTCGTCTTGTCACGTTTGAACCATCCCAAGAAAAACCAGAAGCCGCATTCCACAGGCTGAGCAAATGATTTCGTCCCGTTTCCACCTCTGTCTTGCCTGGTTTTGTTCGTCTCCATGATTTCGCTTTTGATCATGAATCATGACTTTTTTTTCTACAGTAGTCAGACTTTTGTCTATAAAGAGAGAGAGAGAGGGAGAGAAGACAAGAAAATGATTTAGCAGAACCATAAATGCTTTTCTTTTGCGGTGGGTGGATTTAATTTTTGCAGCATTCAGTAATTGGAAGCATTTGTGGCTTCTACGGGGTGATGAGCATCTCTAAAGGGAAAGAAAAAGTGCTGTGGCTCTTTTAACAAATTTCATAGCTGTTATAAGTTGCCAGGGCCTTAATATATTTGCAAATCAGCCCCAGATAACCCATTTAGAAATTCACTTTTATAAGAGCCGTAGCCAAAACTGGCTCTACTCACAAAAATCCTTGCAAAATACTACAGCACTTGCCCTACTTGAAAAGAATGATGATGACTACTACTGGGAAGCGTTCACTCTAGGAGGGCGCATCAGAGCAAGCTGTGTGCGCAGACCAGGGAACCCCGCCCCACCTCCCGCACCGCCCTCCCCCCAGATTCACAGAAGTGGCATGAGTCATGGACAAGTCTTGGCCAAGGGCTGAGGAAAAGTCTCCTTCTCCTTGGTGCAGTGCCCCCTTCCCTCTAGAGCCACACTCCCCTCACTCTGTGCCTTCCCAGGACTCCCCTTACCAAGCCACACCTTTGTGCCTGAGAGCTAGGGCCACGAGATTCCAGGGCCGCACCGCACTCCCAGCCTCAGCCTCCCATCCCATGGCAAGGGCCCCTCTAGACTCCACAAATGGGTTTTTCCGGTGACAGGATCAGTTTCTCCACAAGACACCATCTCAGCTTTGTCCCTCCCTTCACACAATGGAGACTGAGGACAAGACCAAGGCCACACTTCAGCTCAGACCCACCGCTCCCGGCTCCTGGGTACCTGGGAGCGGGCACTGGAAACTGGTTGTGTCCCTGCTGGCTCTCCACCCATACTGCTAGCAGGGGCTCTGCATCTTCTCAGCAAGAGGACACGCTGTCCTTCCTCTGCAGCTCTCAGCAGCTCAGGAGCTGTCTCTCCAGGCCTCAAGCCATAGGACCATTTCAGTCTCCATCCTCCCCACCCACCTGCTGATCAGCTTCCAAATGTCCACACATCCTTGGCCTCTTGCCTAGTCTCAACACCACCCTGCTTATGTGGGCCCCTCCTGACAGAGACCTCACTCTTACGTTCGCCCCGTGGCCCATCTCCCTTCTCCCACTGTGAACCCCTATTTTACAGTCCTGGTCTCACTCCAGCTCAAAAGCCTTCATCTGTCTCCCCACCCGTCCTGCCCAACTGGCCCTCCATGCTGACCCCAATCTACCCAGCTTCCAGGTACTGCTAAAGACATACCCCACCCACATCTGTGCGCCTCTGTCCATCCTCTCTCCCCTCTGCTTCGAGCAGCGCCAACCCTTCCTCCGCCTCTGCCATCCCTTCTTGCTAAAATCTTACTCTCTAAAAACCCACCCAGATTATCACCTCCTTTGTAATTGCCACCATGGGTATTTCCCTAAGACATCCCCCCAAGGCTTAGTTTTCTTCTATACCCATCTGTACTGCTTGATTTACTTTGTGCTATGTATATTTACTATCTACGAAAAAGAATTTTTTAGAAAAAGCAAGAGAGGTCAATTGCCTGCCTTTCCTGTTTAAAGAGACATTGCAGAGTTAAAATGCAGGCAACTGTAAAGAGTGAAGCCAACGAGCTATTATTATTACTAAGTGATGATTTCATAAAAACAGAGATGGATTCCAGCTAGTTAATGGTGAGGAAAACACTGCTGTGGGGAAAAACATCAAGGAAATAGCAAACTTTTTGTTTTTTTTCTGTCTTTAAAGCAACATTCCACCACAGATATCCAGGGTTTCAGGGGCCTCAGGGCTGCTTCTTCTGTTTCTATTGGGACCCATTTCCTTTGACTTTTCTCATCACTGGTAGAATCAGCCTGAACTCCAAAGCTTGAGCACAAACCCTGAGCAGCCCAGTGACAGAATTCAGGATAGGAACCCAAGATTACTCCCCTATGACTAACCACAGCCACTGATGGGAACTCTAGGAGTCTCTTTGATGAGAAAGACAATACATCACCCAGCAGAAGGGAGGTGGAAAAGAAGAGCTACTTCAAAACAATCCCATGAAATTCTTTTATATAAAAGTACTTTAGAAACAGCTTTTCAACACTGTTCACAATAGTGGTATCAGAGAATGAAAGCCATCAAAATGTGATATTTATAGCAGTTCAAAAAAAATCCATAAAGCCGACAAATTAGGAAGAAACCAAATCCCTCCTTATGTCACATTTGGTTTTATAGTAACATTATTTGAACACCTGTGAAAAGGGCACACAGATTACAGAATAGAGAATTAAAATTGCCAGTGAAGCGTTCACAGCCTTTCCCTCTGTTCACTCCCTGCCCCAAGGAAGATTCCCAAGTGCCTGCTAGGGGCACTGCCTGCATATTATAGGATGTTTATCAGCATCCTTGGCATCTACCCTCTAGACAGGTATCAGTATGTATTTCCCTTCTCCAGGTATAACAACCAAAAATGTCTCCAAACACTTTCAAATGTCCCCCAGGGGCAAAATTACCCCTAGTTGAGAACCACTTGTCTACAGTAAAATCCAAATTTCTTGGGACTGGAGTGGAGATTCTTCAGAATTTAATTTCCTTCCACCTTTCCATCGTGGTCTCCACATCTTTCCCCACACTAATACTTACCTTCAGCCAGACTGTCCCTTGCATAAGGTCCCACACTGATGCCTCCACCTGAAATGTCCCCTTCACTTGGAGAGCCATTTTCTCTAGCTAAAGACACAGAGGCAAATATCCCTGGGTATTACGTTAGCTGATTTACTTTTATAAAAGGTACTGTCACATGGAAGTTAAAAGCCCTTTTGAACACAAACTTCCTGGCTTCAAATCCAGCTCTATCACTTTCTCTATGTACGGCTTTGGGGAAATTATCTGACCTCCCAAGGCCTTGTTTGGTCATCTTCAGAACAGAAATGAAGAAAACCAACTTTTCGTAACATTTTAAGGATTAAGTGATATAGTTCACACAGAGTCTCAGCATAGTGCCTGAGAGTGAGTCTTCAATAAATGTGGGTTACTGTTATTTTAAACTGGAAAACCTATTGTGTGACATTTGAAAAATTAGCATTTTGTCAGCTCTCTGAATTATGTGTGAATCATTAGCTAAAATAATCAAGTTATTCCCAAGTTCTTTGGCTGTGTAGGAGGCATACAAGCACAGAGCTGTTTTCTAGTTCAGGACCTCCTTTGTTTTTCCCCAGTTTCTACACTGGCTGCTTAACTGACCCTCTGCCACCAGCCTTTCTAACCGCCCTTCTCACTGCTGCCTCAAACACACATCTCAGCATGTTACTCCCGAGAACTGAAACCAATGTGCTTTCCTGTTCCTGTGCTAAATAACTCTGGGACTAGGCAAAATATCCAGTCACATGTTCCAGAAAGTAGTTGCTTCCAAAAGATAAGGCTTCATACCAATCAATATAGCTTACTTCTCAAGACAAATAGTTTGTCCATTAATACTGACTTCAAGGCCCTCACTTAGCTGCACCCACCAATCCAAAGCTATTATGTCATAAACTCTGCCCAGTCCTCACCAGTTTCCCACCTTAACATCCCCTAGCCCGAGCCCTGAGACTATCATTTCCTCACTTCCTCCATCTGAGAAACTACAAAGACTCTGTCGAGAAGGTGTCCTCCCAACTTAACTTAATTCTATTAACAAGTTTTTCCAATGGTCTTCTTAGAGAGCTGGTGGCTACAATCCCCAGCTCAAAATTATTCAACAGCTCTTCACGGACTGTAGATTGAAATCACTTGACAAACAGTGTTGCGTAACAGCTACCAGCACATGCACTGGGGTAACTCATACATCCACCACTTAGGGGATATGTGATCTTAGGTAAATTACTTTATGTCCCTGAGTCCCAGTTATTCTTCTGAAAATTGGGGATGTTAGAAGCACCTACTTTATAGGCAGAATGGTGTATAGCATGTGATAGGTGATCAATAACTGTTGGCCATTATTACTTTTATTTATCATCTATTTATGTGCCAGGTACTGTACTAGATCTGCAAATAGAAATCTAAGACATAGATTTAGAATTTAGAATCTGATGAGCAGACACTAGTGGTTAATTCAATAAAATTTTAGAATCCTGGAAAAGTCCCTGGGGATATAGGTTGATCATATTCTAGAACCGAAAACTGTATTCTTTTAAAAAAAAAAAAAAAATTTAACTTTTTAATTGTGAATAATTTCACATGTACAAAGGAGTGTATGTAATAGATGTGAAAATAAATACCTGTGAAGCTACACCCAGGCTCAAGAATCAGAGCCTCGGCAGGCTCACAACTTCGAGTTCCTAGGAGAAATGATATCTGGTTTCCCTCATCCCTATTAGGGGATATTTCTGCCTGCCGCTTTGCAGTGAAGGCAGAGAGCAGGATGAGTTCCTAGAAGTTTTCACAGTCATCTGGGGACTATCCCAGGTTTGGAGCCTCTGGTAACCCGTGAGGGCACTTGGGTACCCTCCTTGAGTAGGGCTGCTCTCCTGAGATAGCTCAGAGCACAGAGGTGTCCTCTGCCACCTTTATTACACACGAAAGAGTCTAACATATGTGTGTGTATATATATATATATAAAGTAAATGATAATAAAAAAAGCAGCTCCATGAAAGCGTTGGGGGATGAAAGGAAAACAGTGATAAGTGACCTTACAGCACAAACTCGGGCCTGTCGGGCCTCTCGGCGAGCTTCAGGGCCTCGTGCATGCCTGCGGCCGACAGCTTTCGGTTGATGTTGCGGTACTGGCACTGGAGCAGGCTGCGGTAGGTGGTCCTCAGGTCCCGGTTGAAGAAGGCATATATAAAAGGGTTAATGAGAGAGTTTGCGTAGCCCAGCCACAGGCATGTCCGCTCCACCCAGAGCGGGATGCAGCTGCAGGCCGTGCCGCAGATGAAGGGCCGCGCCGTGGAGAGCAGGAAGAAAGGCAGCCAGCACACGGTGAAGGCCCCCACGATGATGCCCAGGGTGGTGGCTGCCTTCTGCTCCCTCTTGAAGATGGAGATGTTCTTCCTCTCGTGCCTGAGGAGTCTCGAGAGGTTGGCACACTCCTCCACCTCCTTCTGCAGCTTCACCATGCCGTTCAGGGAGACGAGGCTGTCGGGCTGCGGCAGGCGCGGGAAGCCGGGGAACTTGTGCTTGGCCGCGCTCCGCCTGGCGGCCTTGTAGATCTGGTAGTACATGAACAGCATGACCGACATGGGGATGTAGAAGGCCACCGCCGTGGAGTAGATGGTGTAGCCAAAATCCTGGCTGATCAGGCACACCTTGTCGTCGTTGACATTCTGGGCCCAGCCGAAGAGCGGGGGCAGGGTGATGGAGGCGGACAGGAGCCAGACGGAGAGAATCATCTTGGCCATGCATTTCCCGTTCTGCCGCACCGGGTAGGTCAGCGGCCTCGTGATCCCGAGGTACCTGGGAGAGAAACGCAAAGGGAAATGTGAGGACAGCGATCGCTCACATCCCCCGGGGAGCACCGCTAGCTAGGCGCTAGGCTTTAGACCCAGTAGCTCCATTCCTCACGACAGCCCTTCTACACGGCCATCGTTATTCCCATTTTGCAGAAGGGTAAACTAAGGCTCTGAGATGTTAACCTACTTTATTCCAGGTCACACAGTTGGCTAGAGGCACTGCTAAGTCTAAGACCCCTCCGCCTGTAATGCTATTCTGTGCTTTTTTCATACCTCGTAGCTTCTTTCTTGTCTTCCAATGTAGTCAGTGAACTGACATCCGCCCTCCCCATATAACTACTGCCACCCAAATCAGCCAGTAACAAAATGTCAAGCCTGATGTGGGATGTTGTGACACATCCTCACAAATTAACCAAGGTCTACCACATTCTGATATTACACAGCCACTGCCCGGCTGTCTTATTTCAGGCTGGCTTTGAACTCATTTCAACGGCTCCTTTGCACTGTAGCAAAAGAAATTCTTTAAGCTTACAGAGATTTGTGAGATGTTTCTAAAACCCTAAGGTTTTGGAATGGAAAGTAGCAAGTGGTCACTCTTTTACCCCCTGAAACTTCTCACATAAGAGTAATGTCAGAGGAACAATCTATAAAATAGAAACGGCCTGCCTCATTTCTCCTCTCTTCAGAAGGCTCACAAGAAAGGGCACAATTCTGAAAAATATTAGGTAAACCCAACATATTTTCTTTGCTCAGTTCTACATAGAGAATAAATATATCTCTGTCTCTGTTATCAAGGATTTATCATGCAAGAGACACAGCAAACAGAAAGCATATACAGTGAGACATTTGCCAAATGCTTCATCATGTTCGGCTTTTCAAATGTGTTTTCTCCGCAGCAGTTAACAGTCTTGGCTTCTATTTTGGGGAAGATTCAAAGAGCATTTGGGATGTCAAGACAGGTAAAAGCTGGTCATTCTGCGGTTGTTGGTTTGTGTGTGTGTGTTGTTGTTTTCACTTCATTTATGTATATAAAAGATACACTCTTGAAACATGAAAAGGAAAGGTACAGAGAGAGAGTCCTCAACTTACCAACAGGTTATTTTCAGAAAGTCTGTCAGCTGGTCGGTTGAAATCTTAAAAATAATTATTTTTGTGCTGGAAGTATCCTCACATGTTATATAAGCTTAAATTATTCTACAAAAGTCAAAAATCATCCTCTCCCAATGAAAATTAGCGTCACTGCAACACTTAACAAGGCAAAATTGAAATGTAATGAAAAGAAAGCAGCCAGATTTGCTCATGCGTTGAGAATACTTGTCCATTCCCTCAATAAATATTAGGAGAGCGCCTTCTGTGCGCCAGGTGCGATTGTAAAGGTTGGGGATACGGCAGCAAATAAAACACGCTCGTGGCAGACGGGGAGCTCGGGGAGGGGTCAAGCGGGAGGACAGCCTGGCGGTGACGTTGAGGGAACTCCTGATCCCTTCCAAGGATCCAGGTGTCAGTAGCACCCATTCGTTTACTTCCCAGCCTCTGCCTTCGCTCTCCCTTGATAAAGCTGACCCAAAAGGAACTGCCCCGGGTTGATGAGCTGTAATGAGGATTAGGTTTGGGCTCCCAAATAACATTATGGGAAAGAGGGAGGTTTTCCTAGAGTAAGAGCGGGGAAAGGAAGGGAAGGGGGAAAGAGAGAGGGAGGGAGGGAGGAGGGAGGCAGGCCGTGGGGAAAGGGAGAAGAGCAAGCAAGAGAAGTAGACTGTGCCTGTGTGGAACTATCTGATATTAGCTGAGTTTTAAGCAATGGGGAAATGTTTAAGAACATTTAAAAAGAGGTAAACGAGGGAACCCCTGAAGAATGGTGTTGGAACTGACTGGAAACCCACAATTAAGCTGATCCCTGCCCTAAGTCTGAATGCAGACTGTCCATTAAGGGAGAAAAAATCCGTTTCCCTTTCTTTGCTTTGGTCGCGGAGTTCTCTCCAGCTGAAGCTCCTTTGAGGCGTCTCCTTTCGGACCTAGTCCGTGCTGTCCAGCAACTCCTGCGGACGCAGCCTTTCTGGCTCCTTCCTGGTCTCCCAGGTGCGGGAGGCAGTCCTTGCCAGGACTCGGACTTTGATGATCTTCGCTCTCTGCCTGCTGTTTCAGGCATAACTGCTTCTTCCCAAGCCGGGATCTGGCTTCCCAGACGCCAACCCAGGCTGGAGGTTCAACAGGGAGATGAGTCCATACAGTTCCCCAGGTAGCCACGAGATGGCACTGTCAGACCAGGCCATCTCACACCTACTTACCCGGGGGCTGGGGGGCGGGTGGCTAGAGCAACAGCAGGTGCTTGTGGAAGAAGGAAGGGCGATTACTCACAACAAGAAAAGAAGTTATATTTCACTTGTGAGGTTATACAAAAAAATTAGCAAGCCTGGAATGCACAGCCTGGTAAACTATTCTGGAGGAAGTCAGTTCAGTCTTCCCTCCCATCCCGCACATTTTCCTTACTCAAACAGAACCAGTATCTACAGACTTAATTATATTCAGCCTTTCTGCAGTTCACAGAAATGATACAGAATTCACAAAGATCAATCCTGAGAGGTTAATTAATTGAATACCAAAGACATCTAAGATCATTAAATAATCTAACAAGTGGTCTGACATATTGACACGTCAGTGATGTGAGGCTGATCCATATTCCGTCTTTCCTAAATGTACAAATTAGATTCCATAAACTCTCCTATTTTACACCCACTCTCTACCAGTCTCAAGTCATGTCCCACAGTAAAGGAGTTATATTACTTCGTTTCCTGGGTGCCACTTGGTGAGACTTTTGAAAGCTAAAGTCAACCAAAACATGACTAGGAAAAAAAGTGCTCGTTAAAGTGTCTGGAAATAAAATAAATAAACAAAAGTCAATATTTTTTTTCATTAACAATTAAAAATATTATACAAGGAAATAATTTCATTCACAGCAAAAACTAAAATAGCTAGAAAAAAATCTATCAAAATGGTCAGGGCCTAAGTAAGCAAACCTAAAATGCTACCACAAGACCTAAGGGAGTGCTTGAATCTATGGGCGGGGAGGGGGGGGGCAGTAATAAGAAAACCCAGTATTATAGAAGTGCCAATTTTCCCTCAACTAATCTAAAAATATTATACAACTCCAGTTGAAAAACCTAGCAGGGCTTTTGTTATTTTGAACAAATGATTTTTAAGTTCATCGAGTAAATATGCGAAAATAGAAAACCTGAAAATGAATTAAAATGAAGGAATACTTATCTTATAAATAGTATAAAGCCACAGAAATAAAATCTCAATAACAATTATTAAAAAACAGACAGATTCATAGATCAGAAGAGACCCCAGAAATAGATTCAAATATATTAAAAAAATTTAATATATGATGAGTCTTTTTATTTTTTTATTTAATATGTTTTTATTGATTTTAGAGAGAGAAAGAAAGAGAGAAAGAGTGATTGGCAGCCCCCTGCATGCTCCCTACTGGGGATGGAGCCCACAACTGAAGCATGTGCCCTGACAGGGAATCAAATCAAAGTGGCACCTCTTGGTGCATGGGAGAGCATCCAGCCAACTGAGCCATAGGGGACAGGGTAGAAGATGAGTCATTTTAAATGAGTAGTAAAAGACTGAACATTCATAAGTCGGACAACTGGCTAGTAGTTAAGGGAAAAACTGGCTTATCTTTCTCCTTATTCAAAAATAAATCCCAAACTATCAGACAGAGCAATTAAGAAAACAATCCCATTTACAAAAATTGCATCAAAAATAATACCTAGGAATAAATTTAGCCAAGGAGGTAAAAGACCTGTACTCTGAAAACTATAAAACACTGGCTAAAGAAATTGAAAAAGACATAAAGTATATACCATGCTCATAGACTAAAAGAATTAATATTGTTAAAATGTCCATACTATTCAAAGCAATCTACAGATTTAATGAAATTCTTATTAAAATATTAATGGCATTTTTCACAGAACTAGAGCAAATAATTCTAAAATACATATGAAACTACAAAGACCACGAATAGCCACAGCAATCTTAAAAAAAGAAGAAATAAGTTGAAGGAATTATGCTCCCTGGTTTCAAACTATGCTACGAAGTTATAGTAATCAAAACAGTATGGTACCAGACCAAAAACAGACACAGATACATGAAACAGAATAGAGTGCCTAGAAATAAACCCATATTTATATGGCTAATTAATCTATGACAAAGGAGGCAAGAATATACAATGGGAAAAAGACGGTCTCTTCAATAAATGGTGTTAGGAAAACTGGACGGATACACACCCAAAAATAGAACTAGACTACTTTCTTACAACATATACAAAAATAAACCCAAAATGGATAGAAAACTTAAATGTAAGCCCTGAAACCATAAGACTCCTAAAAGAAAACACAGGCAGTAAACTGACATCAGTATTAGCAATATTCTTCAGCTATGTCTCCCTGGGCAAAGGCAGCAAGAGCAAAAATAAACAAATGGGGCTACATCAAACTAAAAAGGTTTTGCACAGTGAAGGAAACCTTCAACAAAACAAAAAGGCAACCAGCTGGAAGCAGGAGATTTTTTCAAATGATATGCAATCAGAGGTTAATATCCATAATATATAAAAAACTCATATAACTCAACATTTAAAAAATTATCCAATTAAAAAATGGACAGAAGACCTGAATAGATATCTCTCCAAAGACATACAGATGGCCTATGGAGAAATGAAAAGATGCTCAACATCACCAATCATCAGGGAAATGCAAATCAAAACCACAATCAGATATCACCTCACAACAGTCAAAATGGCTATTATCAGAAAGATAAAAATTAATAAGCATTGGCAAGGAAGTGAAGAAAAGAGAACCCTCATGCACTTTTGGTGAGATTGTAAACTAGTCTAGCCACTAGAGGAAACAGTATGGTGATTCCTCAAAAAATTAAAAATAGAACTACCATATGAGTCAGAATTTCACTTCTGAGCATTTGTCTGAAGAAAACAATTAT